TGCACAAATTTCTGCACACACACATCCACCCACACACCCACCCACACAAACGATGGTGGCCTTTTTTTTTCTTTTTTTTTTAATTGATTGATTATCAGTGGGGGTGTCACCTCCCCCCCGCGAACACACACACACACACACGCACACACAAACAAAAACAAGTGTGACAATGTATATTTCCATGTTGTAGCATTAGATTCATTCGGTTTTGCTTTTTTTTTACTCCTTTTTCGACCGCAAAAAATTTTCTTAATTTTTTTTTTTAAATACATACATGAACCTCGAGACCCCCCCAACCATCCCTGGGGGTCAACTGCCCCCCCCCCCTCAGCCCCACACCAGGCCCTGGCACGTTCGAACGGAGACCGTCCGGTGTAGGCCCATACGGTCATCTGTCTGTCCGTACACACGGGTCGTATGGAGACCCCCCGTACGACGTACAGGGGACGACATTGCGCAAGGGGATGCAGGGGGAGGTGGCTTCAGGTGAGGCATCAAGGATGGGACAGGATAACACGATAGAGCAAGTTGAGCAGAGGTTGCGCAAGACCGAGTTCGTACGCTCCGAGGAGCCATGTGCAGTGCTGGACGAGGCTCTTCACGACGCCGCGGAGGACACACTGCCTGAGACCGCGGGCATGCCTCTGCCCGAGGGTTCAGTTGATGGCGTCGTGCACATGTCCCTAGGTCAAGAGGACATACAGGCGGGCCAGCCTGTGGCCTTTGATGATATTCGACTACCGACAGAACCAGGGGGGATAGCACCGACCACCGGGGGGAGAGAGGATATCGAGGGCGCCGCTTATGTAAGGGGGTTGGAGGAGCGAGTTCAAGGTGATTTGGTGGCCACCGTTGGGGAGGGTCCACATGTCAAGGTCAATAGCGCGGCTGGACACATAGAGGAGGCGATCGATAGGCATGGCAGAGACAAAGAGGAGGCGTCGCGGACTTTGGTGGTGCATACGGCGGTAGGGCCAGAGGTGCCACATCAGACCCCTTTTCCAGTTGATCCAAGACGTTGTGCACATGACGTTGTCCCGGTCGTAAAGCGATGTGTAGGCAAAGGCATGTTCGCACCTCCGCTCCCGCCTTTTGCACCCTCATGCGAGAGGACACAGTCAAGGTATGTGCCTCAGTCGCAGGGCACCCTTGCATTCGGCTGTATGACTGCTGAGGAGTTGGAGGGGCACAGCGGGACAGATTACACGGAGATCGACACTCGTATGTTCATGGGATCTCTGCCGACGGGGATTATTGCCTCATGCACAGGACTTGTCTAGGGCACCAGCGAGCCCAAGCTTACCTTATGGAGCTTCTATTGCAGCGCCGGCTTATGGGGGAGCAGGCCCATTATCACCCCCAAGTGTAGTTGTGAGCCAAGTGGCAGACACACCCCAGGGCAGGTGCCCATAGATGGAGAGACATGAGTGACCATGGATGGGACGCGATTTTGTTCAGTCGCACTGATTGGCCATGGAGTGAGAGGAGACGGGTGATGGCGGCGAGCACCAGTCGTCAACCGTGTTTGCAAATCGTTTTCACGAATGGGAGCTGGAGAGATGTTGTAGCATCAGGGTTCGGCGGTACCGGCGGGCATAGTGGCGGCATAGTTGGCAGACGTGAGAGACTTCAATTATTTTAGAGGAGTTGGATGTGGGTCGACGAGCTCGGTAGGCCTGACGCTTGCCAGTAGATCGGCAACAAGAGGGGGAGACTTCAGGGGCAGACGCTATTCCCATGTGTCACCATTCCCGCCGGCCCGTTGATGTAGCAACCGCATCATTCGTGACAACCAAAGGCAAGAAATTTATTTTGGATGATGACCCCGACGACCCTCCTGAGCCTTCCGCTATTAGATGCGGCGAGTGGCACAGGAGAGGCCGCCCACGTGGCACTGGTCGAACACATGGACGAGCTTTGCATCGGTCCAGGCAGCATTGGACTCCAATCGGGGATCGTTGATTGTTTACTGAGTTGCGTTTTCTTTTCTTTCTTTATCTATATTACTTTTTAGTTCTCCATCACTGGCAAAGTGCTTTGTGATGTTGTCTTCTAGTGTACTGGTTAGTCGATATTTTTTTGTGTCGTTCACACGTATTTTTGTGCGACACATTTCGTGCAACACACAGAGATGGCCCAGATGGGCGGGTCTTCGACACTCTATGTCAGATGTACTCCACAGTGTCCACACTACAGCTCACCTTGATGTCGATGGAGGAGGAGGAGGAGGAGGAGGACGAGAAAGAGGGGAAAGAGGACACTCTCGACGAAGGCTCCAGCGGCAGCGACATGGCTCGAGCAGCCGAACAACAGGCATTGAGGCAGCGGGCCGTCAATGTCAACACGCACGGGGGTGGGCGAGCAGCAAGCAGCATGGCGACGGGGCAGTGTGTCATTGCTGGGGAGGGACAGGGGGGCCGGGCAACTTCCCGCTTGCATCTGAAACCAGCTGCAATAAATTTGAATTAAAAAATGACCCAATCTGAGTCGTCGATCTTAGTGGATTGATGGCCCAGATCACGCCATATTTGTTTTTGAATTAAATATGGCTCTTACTGGATCCACCATCTCGACGGGGTCCCAGTGGTTGATCGAAACCCCTATGCACCCCTAAGCCCTGGGAAAGCCCTGCGCCTATTTTGTGCAAGACCAAGAAGCGGCGGAAGGGTTATTTCCGGGTTTTTCCGAGGTTTTGTTTTCGGCCAGATGAACAAGATGGTCCAACGTCATCTGGATATCTGAAAAAAACTAGTTTTGAATATGTTTGATCCATCGCGGTGAAACCGTGGCTGAGAGGCGGGGATGAGATGAAACGTGAAGGAGGGCCATGTCATAGGAGCGGGTGTGGGTTGTCACGCGGGGATCCCCGAGGCCCAAGCCGGGTTAGGGGTTTGACCCCCGGGCCCCCGCCGCGGGGCTAGGGGTTAGGGGTTTCACCCCCGGGCCCCCGCACCC